ATTTTAAATTGTATTTGCATCTTCATAAAAGGAGAACAAGATAAAAAATTTAACAAAAATTACAAATTAATGAAAATTATGTGAAGATTTACCATATTTTCGTTTATTTGCTCGCAAAGAACATCACATTTCATGTTGCTCAACATTGTATTATGTTATCAACATTAAATTCAACAGAATTTTTACATTCCGACTTGAACTTTTCTAACGCTGTTAATTTTTCGTCCGCGAATAGTTTCCACTTTCAGTTTGCACCTTCTCTATCTATCCAAGTTCTCTGGTATTAATCACATAAGTATTTATGTCTGTATGTAGGTACATATGTTTACATGAAGTGGCAAATCAAAGTAAAATAACATAAAGGTACATTGTTCTCTCGAAACCGCCAAAGCGTTCTCTTCTTTGTTCGTCGTCGTCGTTCATGTTTCTGCGGCATAAAAGAACGGGCATGATAAGAGATTTTTCCGTAAAGAACAAAACCCGAATACATCTCTCAAGAAGAACAGAATGAGAACGAAACTTTCGGAACGTTTTCAATGCGAACAAAATGAGGAACGAAATTATCGAGAACGAAAGTCTGAGGAACGTTCTGCTAGAGCACAAAACGCGAACAAAAATTTTGAGAAATGAAATGGGCGTCTGCGTGTTGGGATGAAAAATCGTTTCAGTGAGAACCATAATTGTTAATTCTAAGCCAGATGAAAGTTGGATCATTTCAACTTCCAGTTCGTTTATCATTAGTTTCAACTGTCCCTTTAAGGAACAATTTTTCATTTTCTGTGCAAGAAAAGTTCGTGTCTTAAATCTTTCGTTGCCTTACCCATGGTAGCCTCACAATGAGATACTTAGTTTCAGAAAATATTGGTGTAGTAATAGAGCGAAGGTTAGAGTCCAAAGTGGTAGAAAGCGGACTCTGCCTTTCGACTTTAATATTTCTTTAACCCATGTCTTGCACCCATAGCAATGAAGCCAAATCAGCTAATCGATAGACCTCCACAATATCCACATCAACAGGCACTGCATACTTACTGTATGTACATACATATATTCATATTGAATCATGTGAAATTCTTCAACATTTTGAAAAAATAAAACAACAATCAACAGCAACCCGCGCAAAAAGAATTATTAAGCTCTTGAACGAAATACGTGTCTTGCAGACACTAAAAATAGCAAAAACAACAGCTAAAGATTGCAATAACTTCCAGCAGATACAAATATTTTGAGATATTAAAGAGCATTAAAGGCAAGATTGAAAACAGCAGGAGCAGAGAGCGAAGCAAAGATCAACAAAATAGCAAAGTTAATGGCAGCTGCCAAAGAACAACAAAAGCCGCTGCTTGCCAATAAAACGGCATTCCGGCAGCCAGAGCGACTCACGCGAAAAAAGCGTGCTAATAAGCGTAAAGACTGAGGCTGACGCCGTAACTGAAGCTGTGGTTGAGACAGAGGCAGTGCCGCCGGAGTCAAAGACGTCGACCGGTTGGCTCAAAAATTTAAATGCATTTTGTATAAAATTGTTGGGCACCCGTGCGGCGGGTTTAGTTCCTCACCGAATGTAAACGCAACTAGTCACAACCAAAGTGAACGGTACGTACTTACGAACACACACACACACACACTCGCACGAGTGATAGCTCGCGTTGGCGAATTGAAATTGAAACTAAGGCAACAACAAAGGCAGCAATCAAATATTTTATTAATTTATTAGTGAACGTAGCAGAAATCGAACGCGCGGCTTTGAAACAAAAAAACTCGAAAGCGTTTTAGAATAATTTTACGAGTAGCCGCAGCGGCTATGAGATCGTTAACCATTTGTTTGTTGACGGTTGACAGTGGTTGGTGGTAATTGACTAGACTACGACCGAAGAACGGGAAAGAAAATAACAAGGAAAACCAGAAAATTACAAAAAAGCCGCGCCGCTGAAAGTGAATTCACAGCTGGTTGAACTAAAAGAAAAAAAGATAAACCAAACTGGTTGGGCATAAATTGAAAATTCATACGGTGCTGCGAGCCGAGCATACACGCGAGCGAGTTTCAAGAAACAAATCAATACCGCGCTAATCGCAGAAACGAAACGACGCGAATAACGACATTCCATCGAAAGGGAAAACATTCAAAAAAATTATATATATAAGTAAAATAAAAATCGCAAAATTCCAAAAACCTCTAAAAAAAAAACACGTGGATAAATATGCTAACATTACACGCCCTAAGCGGATATAGGCTGCCCTGTGTGTTGGCGGTATTGCTATATTTCAGCATGCCAGCCGCCCAAACAGCGCCATCGAGTGAACTCACAGCGGTTGCGGAAGGATTAGCAGCTACGTTGGAGATAAGCAAACTTAGTTCGGAGTCCGCGAACAGCATATCCACTGACTTCTCCGCAGCAAACGTGGAGAACGCGCAGCCATATGCCACAACTGAGGTGGACACCGAAGCCGAGCTGGCGCCCACATCACTGCCCCTGACAAGCGAGGAAATAGCGCTGGCCGAAGTGGCAGCGGTTGTGGCGGAGCTGACAACAGCGACAGCTGCCGATATTAAGGCGCAAGAGCAAGCGTCAGATGAGGAGAGACAGTGGCAGGTGAGAAGGAGAGCTGACGAGGCTAAGCGGCAAGCGATCGAACGCGAAATCGCTAGCGCCGTGGAAATGCTGGAAGACGAGAAGGATAGCGGTGCTGTCTCAACACTTACGACTAGCTTTGCGGATGTAATTGGAACAACCACAACAGCACAGCCAACAACTGCCGCTCCAACAACTACCGTTGGTCCGGCAATTTTGAATGAATTAGTGAGAGCGGCAGCCGCGTCGAATGAGATCTTGGCAGCTGCTTTAAATGCGGCGACAATGGCAGGCACAAATATCACCATCGCAACAACAGCCGATGTGGCTAGTGCAGATACAACAACAACACCGAAACCAGACAGAGCAACAAACACCGAATTGGCGATTGGTGATGATCTGTTGGCGGTGAGTGACAGTGAAACGCTGCCGGAAGGCGAAGTCGCCTGGCAGCCAAGCGAAATTGAGACAACAAGCATAGCAACAACAACAAAAAAAGCAATAATGAATATCGAGACGGCAGATGCTGCAACTACCACACCAATAACAACAATAGCATCGGAAACCACGCACAGCGAACCAACGCCCAACGCAAATATTTCAAATGAAATTAACGGTGATAATTTGTTGGATAAATCGTTGGAAAGTGAAGGTTGGCGCGAGGCAGTGACCAATAGCCCACAGCAATTAGTAGTAACTGTAAGGCCAAAAGTGTCAGCGGAACCAACTATTACTACATTGGTCACTGAAGGCACTACCGAAACGCTAGAAGCTCAGAGCAACACAGAGACGGTTTCCTCTTTGGATTCAGCAGCGTTACTTGAACATTTCAATAAAAGCCCAGACAGCGAAGAAACCAAGCATTCAATGGAATCAGTAGATCACGAGGGTGCAGAGTCCAAGAAAGTAATAAGAACGAAAGAGGCTGAAGAATCAACCGAAACTACGCCACCCACAGCCGAAAATGAAGTCGAAGGAGAAACTAAAGACTTACCTATGGCAGTCTTAGCTGCTACAAATGCCCGCCAGGTTGCAGAAACAGCAGCAGATGCAGCGATTAATGATGAAGCAACGCAGCAAGCAACAAGTAATAAAAACGAACGAAAACATAGCTCAACAAGCGAACCTATTCCGGTTGAGAACTCCATAAGAGCTGAAGAATTTGAAATTGCAAAAGTTGAGGAAGTGAAGCGAGCAAATTTGCGAGGAGAAAGTAACCAGCCGAACGCGGTAGAGAATGAGATAACAACAACACCAAACTCTCAAGCATATCTCACGCCAGATACTACAGATCCACTAGAAACGCTAATAGCAGTTGAAAGTGAAGCCCGCGCACCAAATAAATATCTTAACGCTATACGCGAAGAAGTAGGAGATGAGACTGTAGCAACAACAAATGCAGTACCAGAAGCGATAACAACTGCCGAATACAATTCAGCTGAGGTGGCAGCAGATACTGCAACAACAACTCCCGAATCAACACTAGTAGAAGAAAAGTTTGCAGCTGAGTCAACAATGAGTCCAGCAGTTGCTGTGACAACTATAACGCCAGTTGAAGACACCATTACAAAAGCCCCCATAGAGCAAAATGTGGCTAATGAAAGCCAAAAGGAAACCGAAAATGATCCTAAAGCAATAATATCTACAAGTACAATAACAAATACAGACGAAGAAACAACAGCCGCGATTTCGAACGGTGATTCCTTGGTAACAACAACTACAAGCAAAACAACAACAGAAGCGGCAGTAGCTGAAAAAGAGCTTACAAAGGACCAAAGAATAGATATTCAGGAAGGGTTAGCAAAAACAACTGAAATGATAACGAAAGACGAAGAGACATCACAAACCTGGGCAAGAGCAACAGAAAGTACAAGTGATCCTGAAGCAATAGTTTCGGTAACAGAACCTACGGTAACATATCTCGAGGAACGAGTTCAAGGAGATATTGTGCCCGCTACCGAATCTGTCCGCAGCTCAACAGATGTGCCACTGGCGGCGTTTACAACAATGCCACACTCGACAGAGGAGCTCTTGCACGCCGAGGCAACCACCGAAAAAGGTGATTTGGGAACAATTTCGTCTGGTGGCAGCAGAGAAAAGGTACGGGAATCAACGACCTTGAATAGTAATACAGCAGAAAATGCACCTGCTGAGCCCACTGATTTACCAGAAACGTCTGCGGTTGAAAGTGAGAGTATACTTTCAGAAACAACGGCGGCAACAAAAGCTACCGAGCTGCCGGAAAGCACAACGGCAGCAGGTGAGGAAATTTCGGCAGTCGCAGAAGCAGGCTTACCAGCAACAACTACAACAAAAATAGAAACAGAAACGGAAACGCTTGCAGCAACTGAGCAGCTAGAAGCAGAGCTAGGAACGACAACAGAAGCAGCACTAGCAGAGCAGCCACTCTACAGGCGCACTTTGGACGCGCAGCGACATGGAGGGAGCGAGTACGCCAGCGCAACGGAACTAACAAATGTCGTGTCGGTGGCAGTCGCTGAAACAACTGAAGCAACAACAACTGTAGGCACAACGGAAGTAGGAACAACTATCGCAGCAATAACAACAACGACAACAACAGCAGGCGCAGATGCCGCGGGGTCAACTTTTGCTGTTGCAACAACAAATGCTTCTGTGGCAGATACTACAACAACAACAAAAATATCTGAGCCAGAAACTACAACAACCACAACGACAACGACAAAAACGCCTGCGCTAGAAACAACAACAACAACAACGGCTGAACCAGAAACTACAACAACCACAACGACAACAGCGCCTGCGCCAGAAACTACAACAACCAAAACGACAACAACGCCTGCGCCAGAAACTACAACAACCACAACGACAAGGACAACAACGTCTGCGCCAGAAACTACAACAACAATAACCACAACCTTGTCGCCAATGAGTCTAATCATTGCCGAGCATGAAGCGCGATCCCTCGAGCGAACCCCACCGCGCGTCAGTCGCATTGTCAGCGACGATGGCGTCGAAGTGCTATCCGGTTACTCGATTGTACATCACATGCATGCGGCAGCCATGGCGGCGTTAGCTGCTGCAGCAGCGTAGGTACGCCAAACATGGAAAGACTGATCCAGGCTGGATTTAGGTTATCGACAGTTTAATTTGTTTTTTTTTTTTGTTTTTACCCATCAAGCTGTTAGTAATCAGCCGAAACAGGACAATTCGAAAATAGCCAATATTCACAAAAGTACACATGCATCACTACAGTGTGATTCATTGCCATAGTAACAACAACAACAACAACAACAGTCAAAGCGGATTTCGCTAAAACCTGTGGTACCACATTCATATTTTTTATACTAAGTAAACGAAATCAAAAAATTTTATTTAAGATGTTTTCATGCAAAATGTGATACCCCAAAAAAAAAATTGCATGCTATACTCGTACATACATATATAATTACTGAAATACATAAAAGCATTTTTTTTTTTGTCAAAGCATAAAAGCAAATATCCCAAGCAATCAATGAGGCAGTAGGAGCAGTTGCCATTGTTGTTGATTTTAAAACGCAAAGAAAAATATGACCAAAAAAGAAGAAGAAGAACAACAACAACAGCTTCAATGGCAGTTGCTAAAATTAAAAAGGAAGTGTCTACACAAGAAACTAGTTTGCTTCCATAAATTATTGATAATATTACTAAATTAAAAGATTTAAAATAAAAATAATACAAAAATGTGTTTGTATTTATGCTTTTGGAATGTACTGGGTCCGTGAGGTGATACAAACAGCTAAAATTAAAACTGAAGCCACTAAAGAGCAAAACAAAATAAAATCATGCCGATACTAAGCGTGTTGGTGATTAATTTTCTGTTACTGAGATTTGAATTAGTCGGTTTTATTTATAATTCAAATTCGTATAAATATTTTTCAATATGCCTTTACTTAACTTAAACCGGTATCGCATCAATCGCATATAAATACGCAAGCTCTTTTCTTCTCCCTTTAATCAAATTCACTTGTGATATAATATTTATTTTTTTTTAACGGCATTTAACCCTTTTGCATAATTTCAATTTCATCTTCTTTCAAAACCTATTTTGCGAACACGTTATGAGCCATCGTTTATTGAACTACAAGCATGCTGTTCAATGCAATTTAAATACTATGAGCTTGCGCAAGTCAGCCCCAGTAGGAAAATCTAGATTGGTTTTTTTTTTGGAATATTGTGGCACTTGGATTTTTGGCCTATCTATTTGTAAATAAAAAGTACTCGAGTTTTCAAGTGTGAAACGCGATTGAGAAAGGGTTTAGTTACACTATACTGCAAAATAAATTTTTTTTCTGCAACTGGTCGATGGGCGGTTACTGTAATCACAATGGATAAAGTGAAAGATCAGAATCCACTGAGGATCCTGAGTGAGATGTGATATTATCCCAAATATCAGCAGTAACCAGGGACGAGAACCAGTTTTTAGCCGAAACCGATTTTGAACTCGCTTGGCCGCTTTTTTATTCTAATTAACTGGACCATTAACCGAATCGAAATTTTCCAAAAATGTTTGTTCCGAACCGAAAACCGAAACATTTTTTTTACAAAAGTACACATATATATGTATCTTTTTTATTTTTTGTGGACTTATACGTTCGTTGTATGAAGATTTTATCTGAGAATACCGATGAGAAACTCTCCAGCGAAATCCCAAATGGCATTTTATTCTGACAACCTTTTTTCAGAGAGCTAATGGATTAAGATGTTCTACAAAATTATTCGTCGAGATATTCTCTTACATATACATGAATTCTAACCCTTTTTTCCACTAAAAAGATGCTTACGAAAAATTACAAACTTAAAATGGTCATAAAAAAATACTTGAGAATGCAAAAATATTTGGAGGTTATAATATATCCTGCTTCACAGTATTACCCACATACTTCTCCTTTATTTGAGAAGCTTATCAAAGTTCCTTTATTATTATTTTTTTGTTTGATTTCCTATTGGGATCTCTTTACCCATCATCTTGCAAGCAGTTTGACTTGTTACCCGATCGGCTTGTATCTAGTTACTGACACATTTACGAACATTACTCTTTATTCAAATCTGTAAACATAATTAACTTAATATTGTTAACAATAAAGTAAAGTTTCGATATCATCGATGATCAGGCATCACAACACTGAGACCATAAATGAATTGGCCAGAAGGGGAACGACGACCGCAAAGTGGCAAAAGTGAATTGTGAATGCTTGAGCATGAAAATTCGGCGTTGGTAATGATTATTGGCCATTGTTTTCAATGTTGGCAGGTGCGACTGGATTTTTATGTATACCGTTATAAAACTAAATGCAGCAGCTTAGAGTGGCAATGGACTAGCGCCACAATTTCGAATAAATGTACATAATTCCATGAAATGTTGCAAAACACCTAGAAAAAAGGGATCCAAAAATGCTGAGAAATTTTAGTTTAAAAAAAAATTGCATACAACTTAAAATTTGAGCATATTCATATACGTATTCAGGTACTTCGTTCCCTTTCCCTTGAAGCCAGCGATTTTCTTGCGTTTTTGCTTTTTCTTCGTATACATAAAAACATATGTACATATGTATGCATATGTTTAAATGAATCGCGATTGCCGTTTTATTGAACACACAAAATTTATTTTCGTATAAATATTGCCAAACACGCCAACAATGCCCAGCAAACACCCCTGAGTGTATTAACGCTTTTGAATTTTTTACCAGCTAAGCTAAGCGGCTGACTAAGCGACTTGCAAAATCCCAACGCACTGACCAAACAAAGCAAAAGTGTTTATCAATGATTATCACGTCCATGGAATGCGAGCGCCTTGTAGCGCATTGTAAAGCGTTTGCCCAGCAAGGCATCGTAAGTAATGCAATTTTTGCTTCCCGCCTGCGTTCACCCATCGATAGGAGCGTAGCCCTTGAAATTTGGTAATGAGTAGCATTTTGCATTTTGAACTTGGACGCTAGCATTTTTATTTATTTCCATTTTTTATTAACTTTTTGTTGTTTTTGTTGGTCAGTTGCCACGGCTATAAACAAATCGTGCTTTGGTTTTTTAAAACCGACTTCGAGCCGCAGTTTCCCAAATGCCACAATGGCACACTAACAACCTATTTTCGAGAATTTCTATTAATCATTCCCTCCAGGGATTTTTTGCTGTGAGAAATTTTCGCCACAAGCCAAACTGGTGAACGCAAAATTCCATCAATTGACCGAGATGCGGAACTGCTTTGCTCTTTATGCGTTCAATTTTGTTTACCTTCATTTATGAAATGTGCACATAAATATTTTTGCAACTTTAGTTGCTTTCATTTTAAATCATTTTCTTTATTTTCTAGCTACGTCCGCTTTTGCGCAAACTTGTATTTTCGCACTTTCGTTATGGCCAAGTTAGATATTTTACTTTAAATAAATTTATGTGTGCGCATAAAATTAGCAAAAACAAAACTGCTAAGACAGTTCAAATTACATATGTAAGTGCTTTATAAGTGAATGTAAGTACTTTTGTTTTTATTACTGTTATTTGGAGGGTCATATATGTATACACATGTACATATGTATGTTAATGTAAATTTGTGGCCAATTGTTCTTGGCCCTTTAAACTGACTTATTTAAGTGTTCCGGATAAATTGTTATTTATTTAAACAATCCATGAAAGCAACATTATTTTATACATACACATCTACTATCGAATAAGCAACAAATACAGCCAATAAACCGCATTCTTTACTGCTTTATAAAATCAGCGCACACCGGTAGTAATCTTTGGATTAATTTAATGCTCTTAGTTAAAAGCAAGAGAACCGCCTGATAAGCTAAAACTGGTAAAAATTTGCAAATAGAAAGCTTAAGTTCAAGCTGAACTTAGAAATCTTTAAAAATGTATATTTGAAGTGCATACTTTCAGGCGAAATGTAAATCAGTCTTAGCTCAACCGCAACCCAACTCGCTGATTGTTTGTGTTTGCTATTGTAAGCAGTGTTGCCAGAAGTCAAGATTTATTTTCCAAAAATTTACACTCTTAGGCCAAATTTCAGATGAAAATTTAAATGGCACTTAAGTTTAATTTTGGATTGTTATTTAAATGCCAAAACAAACAAATGCAACAACAATTTCAAGGAACAAGCAGCAATATTGCCACTTGTTTCACATATCCTCCAGCGTCAACTAGCGATTTTCCTATTATCCTATAATGAGGCAACTTTTTCATAAAGATTAAAAACCCCTCCTTAAAAGCCAAAGACTCGTTTTTTATGTTTGTTTATTTCACATTTTTAATTATTTGGATATGAAGATCATAAGTTTTTTTTTTTTTTATTTAAGATTATGAAGATAAATCTAAGCTTGAGAGCCATTTACCCATTTCTTCACACAAAAAAAAAAATAATAATATCCTACCCCTTTTGCATTCCATGCAGTAGTGCATTTGCCGAAAGAGCTTTTTCGATCTTGAATGGAAAGTGCATTGTTAAAAGAGATCGGAGCTCCACTAATTTAATAAGAAGCAAGTGAATAATAAATTTAAATGTGCTACAGTACTGTGTCGAATCTTACAATTATATTAAAAACAACAGGAAATCAATTAAAGCGGAGAAAAGCATAGAAAAGTACGAAAGTTTAGAAATTAAATTTTGTAAGTTACTTATCAAAATATGTAACAGAGATAACATTTACGAATCTATTTTTGTTTTTTTTTTACTGCATTGAAATGTTTTTGTGCCATTCATAGAATGGTTTTCTGTTGTTTTTTCATTTAATTAGTTTATTAAAAAGCATAAAAGGCCTTTTATCCTAATTCTTTCGACGTCTTCATAAAAAATCCTCCTTAAAATTTGTGTTTTTCTCCCTTAGCCGTTTCAAAAGTTGGCAAACCTATACAGAAGTCAAGTTTTATAATCAAAGGCAACCGCTTACGCTTTTGCAAAGTGTTTGTCCGAGCTTCTATTCCAATTTGTGTGTAGTTACACAGATTGAGGTACGTACAGGTTTACGCCGCCTCCAAACGGCAAATGTAATTAAGAGGCGTTTTTTTTTTTTTTATACCTTTCATGAGCATGAAATGGTATTATAACTTTGGTCCG